GTGCACATTAGAATACGTAATAAAAAAATAATATTTGAGTATGTTAAGGTAAAGTAAATTTAACAAATATAAAAGAAACAGAAAAAGAATAGAAAAGCTGCTTATGATTGTTATCGGAGCGGCATGATATTATCATAACGAATTATTATTGATTGTTTCGAGTGGACGTAATAATATAATTATTTTCGATGGAATGAATTATTATTTCAAGGGAGCGAAATAATATTTTGAGGAAACGAACTATTATTTCTGGAGAATTATTTTATTTTTGATGGAACGAAATAAAATCGCTAGGGAACGAATTATTTAAAGAGAACGAATTATTATTTCGTTGTTTTATACTGTTTATTTTTTAGCCATTCCGACCCTCTTAACATTATAGATTTAGTGTCAGTGGTAGTGGTAATAACAATAAACTAATTTTACTACTCACCTACTGATCTATTTAGGATATTTCAGCTCCATTCCCCGGAGCCCTGTTCACTTCTCTGGCTTCGTATTTGATACGAAAAGGCTCAATCAATTATGTAACAACATGAATGTATTGTCGAATTATTATTTCGAGGGGATGAAATAATAATAATTTTAGAGAGAACGAATTATTTTTTCGAGAGAACGAACTTTTATTTTGAGGGAACGTATTATTATTTTAAAGGAACGAAATCATATTTTGAGGGAAAGAAATAATATTTAGAGGGAAAGAAATATTATTTAGAGGAATTATTATTAGACTAATCATTTATAGGGGACGAAATAATTTTTTCGGGGGGAACGAGTTATTATTTCGGGAGAACAAAATAATATTTTAGAACAAAATATTTTTTCGATTGAACGAAATAATATTTGAAGGAAAAGAAATATTTAGAGGCACGAACAACTATCATTTCGATCGGAACAAAATAGCATTTCGAGGTAATGAACTATTCTTTCAGAAGAACGAATTATTATTTTGAGGGAACTAAACAATTTTTCAGTAGAAGGACGAATTATTACTTTGGGAGAATAATAATATTTTAGAACAAAACATTTTTTCGATTATTTTCTCAAGGAAAAGAAATATTATAATAGAGGGAACGAATTATTCTTTCGAGAAACGAACAATCATTTTCAATCGGAACGAATTTTGAGGGAATGAACTATTATTTCGAAGGAACGCATTATAATTTTGAGGGAACGAAATAATATTTTAGGAGAACGAAATAATATTTCCATTGAACGCAATAATATTTCGAGGGAAAAATAATATTTAAAGAGAAAGAAATATTATTTAAAGGGAACGAATTAATATTTATAGCGAACAAAATAAATTTTCCAGGGAACGAAATAATATTTTAGGAGAAAGAAATATTTTTCGATTGAACGAAATAATATATTCGAGGGAAAAATAATATTTACGATACGATACGATACGACTTTTATTTACATCAAAATTCATTAAAAATATATCATAATAATAAATGAGATAAGGATGGAGGAGATACAAAGAAAAGCAAACAGCCTGTAAAATATTGTATCACCTTTACATAAAAGAAATATTATTTAGAGGAAACAGATATTTTTTTCAAGGAATGAAATATTGTTTTGATCGGAATGAAACAGTATTTCGAGGGAACGAACTATTATTTCAGGAGAATAAATTATTATTTTCTGAGAACTAAATTATATTTCAGTAGAACGAAGTATTATTGCTATTAAACGAAGTATAATTTCGATTGAACGAAATATTATTTCGCTGGAAATATCATTTTGAGGGAATGAACTAGTATTTCGAGGGAACTAAATATGATTTTTTTGAGGGAACGAAACATTATTTCGAGGGAACGAAATATTATTTCTAGGGCTTTTATAATGTAATTTGTTTGTATTGATATGGATAACTTTTTTATTCAACAATTCAAAATTCTATCAAAATTATAACAAATCATGACACTAAAGGTCAAATTGGATGTTAAATTTCAAAAGACAGATATCAAAATTACAACATTAAAAAATAAGACAAATAATAACAATAAATATTATCGTACTGCTAACTAACGAACTGTTATTTAGATAGAACGAAATGAAAATTCAAGATAACGAAATATTGTTTCTATTGAACGAAATAATATTTCTAGAAAAAGAAATAATATTTTGATAGAATGAAAATTATTATTTTTACAAAACGAAATACTATTTTTGGAGGGATTATTGATTTTGAGGGGACGATTTTACTTTCTTTGAAACAGCGCCACAAAAGAGCGAGAGATGCGGTTTGGGTATGATGCGCAAAAAAGGCATTTTAATGCATTTGTTTTACATTTTATAGCATACAATCAATAATCAAAATTTTGGCCTGGAACCAAGGCTATGTTTTTCGAATGTACTATATAATTACAGATCTAAGCCTATTTGATATTCTTAAATGTGGTATTTAATTTGCGTAATCACACCGATAACTCTCCACAGTCTACTGGTTCCTATGCATGGGCCTATGTGATGAGTGTGTAGAAGTACATTTTTTAACCAACTCCCTTAATATCAATAAATTTCATGCGCTTCCAAGAGATTCTCTGCCCGGCTCCTGTCTTGAATCCACTGGTGATATAGCTACAGCGGTGCTCTGGTCACGCAAACTGGGGTCATCATTATATCTTTATTGTATAATTATAGTCCTTATATTACAAGAATTGCCTGAAGTAAATAACACGATTATGTAGGTCTCATGTGAAATATTGAAATTGATTATGCCAAGTTTAAATTTAATTGCCGCAGCCTATTTGAGGACTCTATTGGTTTTATCCCTGTCCCTGTTTCATACAGCCCTAGCCCAATATGTCGTTTTGCTTACCAATTATATACCAGTTTATTAAACTCTTTGGATGTGTGGCTCTCTTGTGTACACTACTTAACAATTCGATATGCACACTATGTTTTAACAGTGTATGTATTCATTAGACTTTTAAGCTACGTTCACATCAAGCCCGGATCGATCCGGTCCGGAGCCCGGACAAAAAGTCGTGAGTTGCTACGTTTTTTGAACGTTGCGTTCACATCGCGCACAAAACACGGTTGTTCAGCTTAAGTATGTATGCGTCCGATTGCTTCGAACCAACCAAGCTTGTTGCTGATAGGTCCAAGAAAAAAAAAACCTACGATTTTAGTATTAAAAAGGCTCTCAGATATATCGGTCCGGATCCGGAGTCTGGATTTGAAATCGTACGAATTTAATGTGAACGTTCCTATTCTTTACCACTGAACCCATTTTTTACGATATTTTCTCCGGACTCTTAGACACCGGAATCCGGGCTTGATGTGAACGTAGCTTTAGAGAGAGGGGCCCAGGATTTATATTAGACCTGAAAAGTCGAATTAAACAATTAAATATAAAAAATTCTGGACAGAGCTTAACAAATGTTTGCTTTAGTTTAGTTACTGTACTCCCAGTTCGTGTATTGGGATCGTTGTCACGTGCGAAACAGAATTTCTGTCTGTAGTAGTCACAATTATGAAAAATGTGATGTAATCCTGTTTGTCGTCGTTTTTGTTAAATTACAAGACTTCCTAATTTGGCACAAACACGAAAGGTGATACAGTCAGGGGCGGATAGAGGCATTAGCGAAAGAGGTGGGGGGGGGGCGAAAAAAAAAAAAAAGAAACGGTAGATAACCATTCGATCACTGAGCGGGGGTGGGTTTTGGAAGTTTTGAAATGGCACGCCCTTAGAGAAGCTTACATGGCATCTTAAGACAAAAAAAGACATCTATTATTTAGAAGCGATAGACCAACTATTACTCCGTCCCACAAGTTTGATTTGTATCATCAACATATCAAACCACTAGACACAAACTGATATGTGAAGTGCATATATGCAGCGCATTATCGTACCGGTACTAGCCTACCTCCAGGCCACCATTTCTAAATTACATTTCACTAGTAAATTTATGAAAAGCATTCTTCGGGGGTCATTACTTTGTCATAATCAAGGTTGATCTCCCTAGGATAGGCCTAGACTAGCAGATAGGCTTTGCGTAGGCCTTCGAATGACATACTTGGTTTTGGACGATGATCATGATTTCAAAGCAATCATAAAAACAAAACCAAAAAATGAGTAGAAAGATACATATATACTGCAGATATGATAGTTTTACCAGAAAAAGGTTTTTCCCCCTTTTAATTAATTTGTTTAATTTTTTTTTTGTGATATAAGGAGGCAGGAGGGGGGTCACATGCGCCCACAATCCGCCCCTGACAGTTGTCATAATGTTCTAGAAAGGATTAAGGACAAATACCTACGTAAAAAATTAACAAATAGTATTTAATATTTAAATTTTATACTCAATTATTAAGAATAGAACGGAAAACAATCCCCACTCTACCATTTAAAATCAGCATGTACAGTAAATGTTTTTCTTATATTCTTTAGCATAGACACTTGCATTGCATTTTTTTTTCAGTTTATGATTATTATTATCAATTATTTTGATTTGTGTTTCATTGGAAGCTTTCATTCTTCCTAATGAACAATTTAATATTTGTAATGTACATTTTTATATCCCCGCCCATTCCAAATTTAACCAATACGGTAGAAGAATAGTACACTGTTACGCCACGATACCACGTGATACTACTCCGTTGCTATCAGCGACACAAAATGAGTTTAACCGGTCCATGTCTCCACTGACAAACCATTGATGCCAATTTCTAACGTAATTATTATGATGTTGTATCTTAATTTTCCTTTGCAAATTTTAATTGATTATTAAATGTGTGTTCGATAATTGATATAATTCGAACTTTTGTGTTTTTAGTACATTTTGATAAAATACCTATTCCAGAAAGCCTATTATAAACCATTAAGATTATGAAGTTACTCGGGCGTAATGAACCAACGTCTGGTTGACAACAAAGGGCGCCACCTGGTGTTGACTGTCTCTTTGCTGTTGTACTACACTTTGGTTGTACTCCTTGACCATTGATACTGTATTATTAAATTAAACAAATGCGTTATTTGCGTTCCATATTGAAAACCACACATAAATTCAACGCGCGAACTGCACATGTGAAGCTTGCTAGGCCTAGCTAGTGTAGGCTTTCAGAAGTAGGGTAGATATAGATTCGTCTACATATTTAACCAATTAGGTCGTACTATTTTGTAGAGGACATAATTTGTAGTAGTTTATTTACTGATCTATTCGGTCTAACCAATTGGTGAGTTTTATATGCAGTAGTATTCAATTTGCAGTCAAATAAATCTAGACACTGGTTTGTTTACATTTCGAAACCGTTGCAGTGTGCAAGCCTACAATTTGGCAGTGTAGACTCGGGCTAGTTAAGAAGTGGTGTTAGGCTAGGCCTAGCCTAAATCAAACTGATCGAACATGAACAGTCCACGGTTCATAATAATTCTACTGCAACTGAATGTGGGCTAGACGGGCAAAGGCAAAAGCTTCCCAAAGGCAAACCAGTCTAGGCCTGGTCTACATGACTTTGAATTATGTTTTGCCTATAAAATAATAAATATTAATAAAGAAAGAAGCCTGGCATGACGTTTGATGGATCTTATAAGCTTCTTTTATTTACCCACTATCATGAAGCAAGTAGACTCAAACATTATCATTATCCAGTTTGATTTAAGTACATGTACTGCAACTCCCATTCTTTTTTGGAATAATCGTAATTATGTTGAAATTAATTCATTGGTTTAAGTTCGTGACAATATTGTAGTAGTAATTTTCTATTTTTGTTAAACCAGGAACAAACTTGTTGAAAACTGCGACTAAATGCTGGAAATAGCACCAACGTAGAGAAGAAACACGCAATCCCAGTAAAAAACATCATTTTTTTTTTTTCATTTTTTTTTAGATAAAAATGGGAGATAAAGTTTTATTGCTTGGCAGTGGAGGAAGAGAACATGCAATTTCCTGGAAACTTTCCAAATCAGAAAATGTATCGGAAGTGCTCGTAGCCCCTGGCAACGCAGGAACAGGGAATCTTGCCAAAATTAGCAATGCCGGTATTTATTCATATTAATTTTTGGGGGATATTTAGACAAATAATATAATTGATATTATGCATCTCTGATTTATTTATTAATAGATAGATTAAATGACTGATAGATTTATTATCATATTACTGAACTATTGTTTTCTGAAGAAAGAATATGACAAATGTATAACTTTGTTTCAACTTAAGTATTCAAGTGTGATTATCCTTAAGATATTGAACCACCTAGCTAGTGAAAATAACACATTATAGACTGTTTACATCTTCATATTCTTTAGGCCCTGGTGTTCCTGTCTCAGACTACCCAAAGCTTGCCAAGTGGTGTAAAGACAACAACGTGAGTCTGGTAGCTGTTGGCCCCGAAGCCCCCCTTGCAGCAGGCATAACGGATGCTCTGAGTCAGGCTGGGATTGCTTGCTTTGGACCATCAAAATCGGCAGCTGAGATTGAGTCGAGCAAGGAGTTTGCGAAAGGTTTCATGGATAGGCACGGCATTCCAACGGCTCGGTGGAAATCGTTTACAAATCCTGAAGAAGCTTGCCAACATATTAACAGGTATCCGTATATTTTAACGTGTTAAATATATATTTTATTTTTTTGTTAAGATTGAATGGAGTGGTTTCATTTCCAGAAAAAAAAAAGGTTTCTAATATTTTTTTTTAGGCAGTGACTATTGATACACCAGACATAAACTAATGTGTGATTGACTATATTAGTACAATAACACTCAATTAGAAATAATGGTTTATAACTGGTGTAACATTATAGCCAATGCCTTTTTTTATTAATGCGTATTTTATTTATATATTTCTATTCTGTGTGAATTTATTTTTGTGTTGCTAGCATTCAGCAAAATAGTCGTTTATTGAAACTGCCATATTTTAACTACCGTCTCCACAAACCTTTTTTTAAATCTGACTTTTTCAGTGCATCTTACAATGCTCTCGTGGTGAAGGCAAGCGGACTAGCTGCTGGAAAGGGAGTTGTCGTAGCAAACAGTAAGGATGAAGCCTGTCAGGCAGTCAAGGATATGATGCAGGTAGCCTATTGGTTACTACATTGTGCCCTCAAATTTGAGATCGAGATTATCACTATCATTATTGTCATCATCATCAATATCATTCTCACATAACCACCATCACCTTCATTAGGCAAAAACGAAATCTCGACATTCTATGGTTGGCCATTTTCTTTTTTGCAAAATATTTTTTCCATATAGAGAGTATGCAAAAGGTAATTTCTATTTATCGTTTTAACCATCACCATCATCAATATTGTATTAATCGTTGTTGTCGTCGTTGTCAATGTTACCGTCGCCGCTGCCGTCGTCGCCGCCCCCGCCGTAATATTTTGGTTGTGTTTACTTGTGTATGGGGAGTCAGTGCTAGATCCATATCATTGTCATATTCTTACCATCATCACATAATCTAAATTATATATTTATCATATAAACACCGTAATCATTATCATCAAATAAATATCATTATAATATTCAGCATCATTATCATCAGTATCATAACTTTAGTCATCATTACTATGTGATTGTTTTTTCAGGACAAAGTTTTTGGAACAGCAGGCGATACGGTTGTTGTAGAAGAATTACTAGAAGGTGAAGAGTGTTCAGTAAGTGTTGATTAATGATTGAGCAAAATGCTGCTTCTAATTTAAGAATTTAAAAAGCACCCCAACAGCATTTTCTACCCTTCCATACATAATATAACACTTTATAAATTCCAATATAATTCAATTCAAATTTATTTTCAAATATTTATATTTTATACACATAAAGCTATTATTACTGAGGAGATGGAAAGTAGTGAGAACACTAATTAAAAATTGAGCCAGTGTTCGCAAAAGTTATGGATAGGCACACGACATTCCAATGGCTTGGTGGACATGGTTTTAGCACCTTGTACCATTCAGTACTTAATGAGACACTTTATTAAAATCCAATATAATTCAATTTAAATTATTTTCATATATTTTGTTTTTCATACACAAGTAATAAAAAATAAAACAATTTAAAATGCATTGGTTTTGACTTTGTAATTCATATTATTCTTGCTCTTATTCAGTGGCGGTGCTGGGGGGGGGCTGCAGTCCCCCTTCATAGAGGCTTTGTGCCCCTGTCAGGGAAGCAGAGATTCGTCGGCGGATAAAAGAAATAATGTTTTAAAAAGCTTATATCAAATGTTGGCTTGAATTTGATAGTCCTGCATAAATTAATAGTTTGGACGCTGATGAGATACAAACAGTACCATCAAAGATTGACTTGGCATTACCAAGCACCTATAGGCATGAGCGTATAGCGGCTTATTATTTTAAAAAATGTTCTCATTGGAGAGGGGGTCTTGACTTGACTTTATTCAGTATACATCATAATAGTGCAAATAACAATGATTTTCTTAAAGTTAAAACACCCCTCCCAAATCCTGTCCCGACTCAGGCCTATGAACCTTGGATGGTGCATCCTGCCAAAGTAAAATTCTTTCCCTGCCTGTTGTGGGCATTGCCTGTCGTCGGGGAAAATTCTAGTGCTGCCACTGCTCTTATTGATACAGTACATTACTATGTATTTCTCAAATGAATTTTTTTATTTGTTGGATAAATAATTGAATCAATTTTTGCGTGCATTCATTTAGGTTTTAGCATTTACTGATGGTAAAAGCGTTGTTGCTATGCCTCCAGCCCAGGACCATAAGAGATTACTTGAGGGGGACAAAGGACCAAACACAGGGGGCATGGGAGCATATTGTCCCTGTCCACAGGTAATAATTTGTGAATGTTTTGTTATATAATTTTGATATTCCGTTCTTATAGTTCTTCATATGCCAAAATCATCTATTCATGAATATTCATTTTATCTCATGTATATTCATTAGTGATTTATCCATTTGCATCACAATTTTTAGTCAGTGGATATTCATATATTCATTAAGTTAGCATATTTTCATATACCTCTCACATTTACTAATAATACCATTTGCAGGTTTCAGCCACTTGTTTACAAAAAATTAATGAACAAGTCTTGAAAAAGACAGTTGATGGAATGAGGGAAGAAGGAAGACAATATGTTGGTATGTATAAGCATGTGGATAATTAACAGTGGTGTATCTAAAAGTCTTGAAATGGGGACTGATATTGGGGGGGGGGGTGTGGAGGGTGAGCGGACACAGTGATTAAATACATTTGCTTATAGCATATTATATTATGTTTCTGAAAAAAAAAAGAATAAAGTTTTGTTGTTAAATCTGTTTTTTATCTGCATCTATTGCTCTACGGTGGGTTGAAAATACTGCAGAGCCTAATCAATTAAAATTTTATTTTCTAGTTAGTCTTAACTTTTGATATCGTATCATTCAAAAAATATACAAACTAACTTCATTATTACTATCGTTGTTATCATCTTCATTATCATCATAATGATTGTTAATATTTTACTTTCTTTGCAGGTGTGCTATATGCTGGTATTATGCTAACTAAAGATGGACCAAAAGTTTTGGAATTCAATTGTCGATTTGGCGACCCGGAAACACAAGTGCTAATGGTCATGCTGAAAAGTGACCTCTACCCAATCATGAAGGCTTGTGTCAATGGCAACCTCACCTCTGACCTTGTCAGTTTTCATAGCAACCAGAGTGCTGTTGCTATAGTGATTGCGAGTGGGGGATACCCAGCGTCATATAAGAAAGGAATGGAAATTAAGGGTATGTATAGTTACTTTGATATTATACCAATGAATTGATCCTAATCCAGTAATTTATAGAATAGGGCTGGAGGCTCGATTCACCGCAGTATGTCACCTCCATTGGGCGAGTTGGATAGCCAAGCAGGTAAGGCAGGGATGCCGCAATCCACAGCCATAATATCGGCGCTGGTGCGAACAGCACTCTCATCTATGCTTTCTTGTGGTGAAATAAGTCTTCTTGGATTAGGACTATAAACAGTAGGCCAAATGTACACAATTTTGCTCTTGTGCGCTTAAAAGAACCCAGTACATCTTTCGAAACGACCCTGGTGTACTGGTCCATACAGCTCCTGTTGTGAACAGACGAGAGTAGCTTGTACCAAATTACCGGGTAACTCCGACACGAGGAGACTCTTCATGAGAGAAGCAAATTACTGTAACAGCTAGTCCACAACTTGAGTGCTTTGAGGCCATTTCATAATAAAACGCTATATAAATCTAACTACATTATTCTACATTGGTTGTGGATTGGTCTTTCAAAAGTGGATTTGTTCTTCACTCTCACACTGGTTATTGCCATTTTCAACCATGTTATGCTATTTATTTTAAATACTACTTAAATTAATAACATCATTTATTATCCTTTATCACCAATAGGAATTCAACGTGCTGAAAAAGAATTGGGTCAGATAGTTTTTCACGCCGGGACCACAAGAAAAGATGACAAGATCGTCACTTCTGGAGGTCGTGTCTTAGCAACAGTTGCCATGGCAGCAGATCTACCTTCAGCAGCATCCAAGGCTCTTGAAGGGGCAGGGGTAATAGAATTTGATGGGGCTATATTTAGAAGAGATATTGCAAAGAAAGGTTGTGATTTCTTAGGCAGGTAGGAAAGCATTGGTGAAAAAAATGACGGATTTAAATATACTCATGTCTTTATTTATTGTGGACATGTATTCAGCCACTGGTCAAAATTATTACATACTATTATTTTGCATAGATTTTGATACCATCATTACCAATTTTCAATTTAAATGTTTGTACTGATTTTATTTGGACATACATTTTGGTTTATATTATTTTATTTTTAAAGTAATTTAAAGAAATAAAGGCATATACAGAGCAACAATGTATACAGTTGGTTTTATTGAAATTTTTTATAGTGTTGTTTATTAGTCACGTCCTGGAGAACAGTATCATATGCTACACAAAAGAATGAAAGATAAAGACAGTATCTGTGGTTTACACCCTCGCCCACAATATGTGGATGCAATATAATATCATGGTAATTAATATACTGTATGATCAAATCACAGATATTTGATATTTTCCAATCTATGACATGTGACATGCCTAAATATGGTCATGACATCACATCATAACCATATGTGGCAAAGACAAGCCAAATCAGTCACTCGTCGCAAATCCTGTTTTGGAAATAATGACCAAAACATGCTCGAATGTCAAAATTTTGGAAATCTATTTTATTGCACTAAGCTAAATTTTATGTATCTATACATCATGCTATGCTGTTATTTTTCCCATTTTCAATGCTAAAACAAGACTTTTTAACGATTTGGTGATGGTTTCTGCCAAAGAAATTCCCAAAATCCTAAACTTCGAAAGGTTGATTTCTCAAATATTGTTTTCGAAACAGCTGTAAGTTTGATTCTTTTGCCATTTTATAGCCCTCATTTTACTGTTTAACCTTGTATTAATAACTAAAAAATCGATTTTTGCGACAAGTGACTGGTTTGGCTTGTCTTTGCCACATATAAAGACACTTTATGACTGCAGGGGCATATAAAACTGTTTTGTGTCAAATAAAATTTGATAGTCTGGACAGGACTTTAATACAGAAAATTTGTAATGTGAACACACCTTAAAGTTTAAGGTGTGTTCACACTACACATTTTCTGTTAGTTAAACATGTTGACTGGTTCTGTCATTAATTCCAAGTCAGCTTTAAATTATCTCATAAGAGAATTTGAACAAATACTTTTTGTTAGTTTCTTAGTTTCTTGTCAATTTATATATTGTTCTTTAGAATCACTGCTCTCTACATTTCTGTTCCTCAAATTTTGTGTTCGATTTCTGTATCATCCAGTTAAATAAATCACTATTCAATAATTTGTATACAAATCTGAACTTGTGTACATTTGATCATTAATTGAAAGATTTTTATCGATACTGTATTTACCTTTTAACAAATTATAATTTATTACATAAATGTTATATGATAAAAAATTATAATCATCAGAAGCAAATCCTCCGGATTGACATACGCAGAATGTGGAGTGAGTATCACCGCCGGGAACAGTTTAGTTGATGCAATTAAACCACTGGCACTGGGAACATCGAGGGTAGGCTGCAGTTCTGTTCTTGGGGGCTTTGGCGGAGTGTTTGACACAAAGGCCGCTGGTTACAAAGATCCACTGCTGATTTCAGGCACAGATGGAGTGGGCACTAAGTTGAAGGTATAGTTTGTTGAGAGCAGCTTTAAGCCCCTCTCCCACTAGGGGTTTTTTCAGCGTACGAGTTAGAAGAGTTTGCGGAGTTGCTAACTCGGCAAACTCTGCAAAAACTTGTAGGATGATGCAGAAAGCTCAGAGAGAACTCTAATTACCAACTCATAACAGCTCTGAACTTGTGGCGCTAATTTTGAAAATGTTCAAAATTTGCGCCAACTCATAGTAAAATCGAAGATCTCGTCGAGTACTCGGGTACTCTTACCTAGCACGTACACTACTCTGGATACTCGTTGGCAGTTTTGTCATCTACGAGTTTGATGCAAGCACCCAGAAACGTGTACGAATACGTACGAGCGTACCGTGTTGGCTTGTACCTAACTCGGTATCTAATTCGGTACAAACTTGTAACGCTCGTAATAACCATGTACTGTAGTTAACTCAGTGTTCTGCTCGGCGTAACTCGCAACATGCAAAGCATATACAGTAGCAGGTTGCAGTGTCATATGTGGGATGAATAGAGTGGCTAGCCACCCTCGTTCGTTTACCGTGAAAAAAAATAGTGTGTGTAATTCTCGTGTGCATACATTACGTGTTGTAGGCTACTGTAAAACATACGTGATTATTACTTAATAATAACAAGTGACGATTTTATGCTGTTTCCAAATGGAATGAAGTGATGGAGGATGTGCAAAAGTTGTGCTCAATTATTTGTTGTTAATAATGAGCTACCTAGCAACATGAGAGTATTATTATTGTTTATACTATTTATTATCATTATTGTTGTTATTATTTCCTGTTATGCTTGTTATGTTTACTTGAATTTGTTTTTATTTGAGTATTATATTTACAGATAGCTCAGGGTGTTGGTGAACACTCAAGTGTCGGGATTGACTTAGTTGCAATGTGTGTGAACGATATCCTAGCCCATGGTGCAGAAGCTCTTTTCTTTCTTGACTACTTCGCATGTGGCCAGCTTGATGTTGCTGTTGCTAGGGATGTTGTTAGTGGAGTTGCAGAGGGGTGCCGTCAAGGTGGATGTGCCCTTTTGGGTCAGTATTTTTTTTTATTCTCTTTTTTTAGATCTTTTAAAAATTGTTTTTTATCCAACAGTGATGCGAGTGACTGTTACAGGATGGATAAACTTGATGCTTATAAAAGCAAGCATCCTTTTGTTTGTCCACCCCTAGATTCATCTGCCACTGATTATTGCCCATTTCATAACCTGACCACACCCAAAAACAACTAAACCGGGAAAAAATTAAATATGAAAAGCTAAAATTAAAACTAAATTACATAATAAATGTTTTCCTTTATTCATAGGTGGGGAAACAGCCGAAATGCCTGGTATGTATTCTAATGGTGAGTACGACCTGGCTGGGTTTGCTGTCGGTGCGGTAGAACGTGATCAGACAATGCCACGAATAGCGGACATTCAGGCTGATGATGTTATTGTTGGAATAGCATCATCTGGTATTCATAGCAACGGTTTCAGTTTGGTGAGGAGACTAGTAGAAAAGATGGGATTGTCATACAATGACCCTTGCCCGTTTGAGGCAGGAAAAACTTTAGGTAAGAAGGATTGTGATGTCAATGATTTGGAAAACCATACGCTATAAAAAGTAGAATAAACATTGTGGTAGAGATGGTCACTGTCTAATGTCCCAGGGTTCTGGGTTCAAATCCTGCAATGTTAATGGTATGGAATTGTAGTTTGCTGGTGAAGATGTTTGTTTTCCAGTCTTAGGGTCAGGGGCTTCAATCCCTAGGAATGGTCAAGATGCTTGCCTTCCAATCCCAGGGTCCTAGGTTCAAATCCTACAATATTGATGAAGTGGACTGTAGTTTGGTGGTTAAGGTTCTGCAGTATCCATGTCCTAGGTTGAAATCCTGCAATAGTATAATGAAAGTGTAACTTGGTGGTTAGATGATTGCCCTACAATCCCATGGTCGGGCTCTGTGCAGTATTTGTAAGAGTTCCTAAGAAGTTATTGTACATCACAAAAACAAACTAGTGGTTTCAAATACATGTTAAAAATAATTTAAAGGTCCTTCAATACCAACCATTTATATTATATGCTAAACATTTTCCCCAGTTATTGCCTCATATATATTCATGTATTCGTAATGAATATTTATTGTAATCTATACATATTTACTTACTAGGCCAGTGCTTACTAACTCCAACTAAGGTTTACAGTAAAACACTTCTACCATCAATTCGAAGTGGAAAAGTAAAAGCTTTTGCTCACATCACTGGAGGAGGTTTAACTGAAAATATACCAAGAGTTTTACCAAAACATCTTTGTGCACACCTCAATGCAAAATGGAACATTCCACCTGTATTTGGATGGATAGCTGCTGCTGCAAATGTCAGTGAGGCAGAGATGGCTAAGACATTCAATTGTGGCATTGGAGGGGTGTTTATTGTAAAGGAATCTGATGCGGAAGAAGTGATGCAGATGGTCAGAGAAAATGGTGAAGCATGTTGGACTGTTGGAAATATTTCACTGACTGGTGCTAATGGTAAAAACATCATCTTTTGGGGAGGGGGCAGGGGAATAATAAATGGCTGTGTACCCTTATTTGGTGCCTATCTAAATCTGTGTGCCCCGTGTCAAAATATGTATATTACATGTACTTGAAGGTAACTTAATGGATTTTGAGCCTCCATTGGTGATATGGAAAGATTTAGACATGACTGCAGTATAAGGCAATTCATAGTTTTAACTGTGCATGTACAAATCTAAAGTCAATTGACATAAACCTATGTTTTGTGTATGTTTAGTTATGTTGGATGACCTTAAACATGCATGCACAGTTCAAATTATGAACTGGATTATTATGAGTAAGAGGAATAGGTTCTTAAAAGTTTGTGAAAATGCCTACATTTAGTATTGCTAAAAATGATAATTTATGATCTGTTAATATTTTCTTTCACAAATATATTTTATTTTTATTAACCATAGGTGAACAAGTTATCATCGATGGTTTACAGGAAGCACTGTTGCAAACTACCCCTAAGAATGGTATTATGTCATCTACAAATTCCCCCTCAAATAAAATGAAAGTTGGTGTTTTAATCTCAGGAACAGGCAAGTCTATAATACTACATGGAAAACATTGCTTTATTTTCTTTTAGTCTGATTCTAGTGGTGACTTTTATCCTAGACACTGTCCCTTTAAGCACCCTTGGTATTGTGTGCATACTAAGATAGTTAGTCTTCCCCTCGTGAACACAGAATTTGGTTTATGTTTGGCAGGCCTAGATACACTAGTTCACTTTTGTAGCTTCCATACTAAAAAAAAAAAAGTAAACAGCTAGCTAGCTAGTATTTTGATGCTAAATTTCAATGTAATAAATAATTGATTTGTTATACTACAGTATATCCAAATTGATTTCTGAACCACACTAATACTGTATCTTGTAGAATGATCTGATGTTATCAAAAGAAGAAATTTAATGCTGTTGCTTTTGTGACAAAACCACACATTTTAGTGTTAAAACAGTTTGTAAAGGGAAGGACCAATGAAACTAAAGAGATGACATTCTGTGTATACCAAGTTCTTGATTAACAGCTTACTTCTGTATTGGATATTAACTGCTGCTTGGATGGAGGCAGTTGAAAAGATAAAATTTATACATTTATTGAGTGGGCTTACCCCTGAATGATGTGTATAACATTTATATACCTGGGGTCAGCTCATGCCAATGAACTGTGGTATTATTATCTCTTCAGTCCCTTCATCATCCCCTTCACACTGTTTTTCCTTATAGATTTCTTCACTTCTGGGCATTAATCTTTCATTTTGAACAATATAAGCCACACAACAATGTATTTGTGCTTTCTTTGATTATTCTTATATTATTTACCATTTTCATATATTCCTTTTTACATTTCAAGGAACCAATTTGCAGGCGTTAATTAACCACACTAAAAACCCACTGAAGCCAAGTCAGGCAGAGATTGTGCTGGTGATTTCCAACGTTCCTGATGTCTTGGGGCTAGAAAGGGCAAAGAAAGCAGGTATACCAACAAAGGTAAAGTCTAGAAGGAAAAATCACATAAATATTACTACGTGTATATTTAATCATGATAATATAAGATAATAATGTTATAGCTCTAAAAGTAGGACCTTAGAAAGGCTCACCACCCTTTTTTCAACCTTTTCAACCGCTTTCCCCTAGTTTTTAAATATTCAATTATCTGTTTCCAAGTTTTACATCAACCACTCTTTTTGTGTCATAGAAAAAAAAAATCAGTGGTACAGCAGATAAACATTGTTTTTCCTCTGGAGCCTGGCTTAAAGTCCTGTTCACACTATCAAATTATATTTTAAAAAAAACTTGTGACATGCCTAAATATGATCATGATTACATCTCATCATGATTATATTTAGCCACATCATGATTAAATATGATCATGATCACATCTCATCATGATTATATATAGCCACATCATGATTAAATATGGGGATACAGCAGTTTTTTTGTGAAAGGAAATTTGGTAGTCCGGACAGGGCTTTAGTTTGACCAAAAAAGCCTAATGTGAACAGGGCTTTAATTTGTAAAGCATACTTTCATCATATCAGACTGGTGAGACAATCACTGCTGATGAAAACTTGTTCATGGAAATTATATATTAATGATTTACAGATAATAAGTCATAAGAACTACAAGAAGAGAGTTGACTTTGACATGGTTGTGAACGAATCACTGAAGGAAGCTGGCGTTGAAGTAGTTTGCTTGGCCGGCTTCATGCGCATCCTCAGCGGAGAGTTTGTAAGAAAGTGGCAGGGTCATTTGATAAATATCCATCCATCTCTGCTGCCTTCATTCAAAGGGATGCATGCTCATAAATTGGCATTGGAAGCTGGAGTTAGAATAAGTGGATGCACTGTACACTTCGTGGAGGTGAAGTATACTAACTATATTATAATAAAGTTTTATTTGTTGAAGTTGACAATTAATGGAATCTTGTACAACACACGTATCCACAGAAGCCTAGTGCATAACTGTGTCATGCATCAAATTGTTTGACATGACAATCTGTTTGGTGTTCGGTGGACTGATGTTGCATCAAGCTCACTGAAAGTTTAGACAAATTTGTCGGCCTACGCTTTGGCAAATGTCAAATGACAATATGTTTTGGGCTCATCAACATGCACAGTGGGTAACCTACTTCTCTCTCTGGGGAGTATTTCTGGGTTTGCAGTAAATTGTTCGTGTATTTATTTTCTGTTTGCTAAAGGAATGTTAGAAACATCCTTGCCATTATTGAATAAAATAATATTATTCTTCAAGTACCCGTCATTACCAATTACCCAGTAATGCTCCTGGGTGGAAAGGGACAAATAAAAAATCTAATGCGTCTTTCCTATGGACACAAGTAGAATGAATAGCAGATTATAGTAGCCCTTTAAAATTCCTAACGATTATCCAGTGGTGTGTATCGGTTCCCAACCTGGGGTCTGCCAATTCAAAAGGGTCTGCAGACCTTTAGATTGATTTTTCATTAGTGTTCTCACCTTACTGCTAATCTGATAGGAGCCTCATCAATAAGTAAAATAGCATTATGGAATTCTCCACATGGACCTGAGTATGTATTCCAATGTGCTTAATCCAATGACCAGGGGTAATAATGCTAAGCAATCTGTTTTGTGTTAGGTGGACTGATGTTACATTAAGCAAGCTTACCGAGAGGGCTGACAAATTTGTCAGTCTACATTTTGACAATTGAAGGACGATGCAGCTTATGCCAAAATTAACATGCACCGCGAGCAACCTCCTTTGCTCTCTGGGAAATATTTCCAGCTTTGCAACAACTTTTTTATGTTAATGTGTATTGCTTTCATGCTTTCTAAGGGAAGGTTAAAGACATATCTTGGCCATTATTGAATAAATTTATATTGAACTTTAAAATTACTTATCATTCAGATTCTACCAAGTACCCGAAACTTTTGCTTTGTCCAAAGACGCAACGCCTACGTGCCCTGCACAACGTAGATTTAGGTGAATTACGTCCTAGAATCCATGCGACCGTAAGAACTCAACATTCTCGCATGCGCAAATGACTTTATGTGATGTCATTATGTTCTGCATCCTATCATCATGCAATCTAAAGCTCCCTAATGCTCCAGGGGGAGGAGGAGAAAGAGAGAGAAAAACGAAATATATCTAATGTGTTCCTGTGAACACAAGCAGAATGAAGAGCAAATAATGGTAGCTCTTAAAAATTCCTAATGACTATCCTATAGTGTATTGGTTCTCAACCTGGGGTCCGCCATGTCAAAAGGTTTTCCTCATATAAAAAAATTGTGATAAACATCTTACTGCTAATCATATTTTGAGCCTTATCAACAATAAAAAAACTAACATTATGAATTTCTCTCTAAGGAGGCCCTGAATATGAGTTGCCGTGTGCTATATCCGATGAACAGGGGTAATATTCTTCAGTTCATTAGTGGTCTCTACGATACACTCTATAAAATGAACATTATTGAAATTATTATTTTTGTGTTGAATTATCTTTTATCCATAATCCATGCGTTCTATTTGTGGAACATGGACAATGAGTAAACTTCTAGGGGTCCATAAAAGGATGAGTATGGAAAAGGTTGAAAATCACTGCTGGTGGTTTTAAAATATTACTTACAGCATTTTTAATAGTCCAATCAGAACACAACAATTCAAAAAGGATGTTGCTAGGTGACTATGCTTAGCTACAAAAGTATGTCACCATTTAATATTACCACCTTTGTATAATTTCTAAATTTAATTTATTTTTATTAGGAGGAAGTTGACGCTGGTGCAATCCTAGTCCAGAAGACAGTAAAAGTCATGCCAACTGATACAGTCTCATCCTTACAAGAACGAGTCAAGACCGCGGAACATATTGCATACCCAACGGCACTCGAGCTTGTTGCTAGGAAAATTGCAGTCCTCGGTAGTGATGGGAGAATCAAATGGAATGGTGACCCAGATGACCTTTAACCTGCATTTAAATTTTTCTGTTGGTTTATCGATGGACTTTACAGTTTCTTGAGGAATCTTTCATCATTAATATTGAACATATTGTTATTTTATAACTTACTTTTGTTATTATTTTTACGGTACCGATTATGGGCAGACACTTTGTAAAATGCGGTGCCCACATGCAATATCGGCCCACTGTGCTCGGCAGACTAGATTTTCTTCTGACTTTTTTTGCTTATGTGGTACCAGTGTGCCCTAGCCGCGAGAAAAACAATTTTTCGTGGAGGAAAATGAACTTTTCGTATTTTTAGAATCTATAATCGTTTAATTGACATACTAAGGGTATTGCAATCTCTGGACCCCACCAAGATATTGACCAATGCCCGACCACACTCACTCACATTCTAATCGAAGTCACTGGACATGCCTGGTGCCACCGCTGCATTTTTGCAAATATACAGATTTGCAGGCACCGTGGGCCCTGTAGTAGTTGCGGACTGACTGCATTTTATTATGATAAAGGAAAAATTGAGGTCAATGTGACCAGCAGTTCATGGCCTGACTTTACCCACTTGAGTCAGTACTGAAGAATTGAGTTTTGAATTTTCATTTATTAAAATTTATGATTATGTACACTACCAGCAAGGCATTAATTCATGATTAAATGGCACAACAATGCAAGTTTATTATTATTTCTATTATTTTTAATAATTATTATTTTTTCTTATATTATATTACTTGTGATTAAAACATAACAGGGTAAAGATATCTATCATACTGTATGTATAATATGTTGACAAATAAACTAACTTGCATACAGAAAATAATATTATTAAAGTGCTTCTTTATTCCATTCTACAAATTATATATTTACAGTACATTATAGAAGTGTAAGTGTCGCTCACAATCCTATGTAATCTCATTTGAACTGTAAACATGGCATGCAGTGGCGGATTAGAGGGGGCCTACGGCGGGCATTTCATGGATGGCGGGTCTACAACATACCGCCTCAGCCCCACCATGGTTGGGGCTGAGTAAAGATATGATTATGGCACCTCTGAATGGCCGGAAATGGCACTCTTAAGACTTAAATTTCGAAAAAATTTAGGAGGGGTGGTGTGTACCATCTGGGTTCCTCCTTGAATCCGCCACTGGTAAAGAATTAATGTCATATTCATCAAAAGGCCGGAATTGAACTAATAGCTAAATACTTTACTCAATGCAATTTCAATACAATTCTATCTGTACAGTCGAAAAGCAAGAATAAAGATAACACAACGTTTTGAATATAAAATTTGTTATTTTCAGGAATAAAACTTAATGTTTACATGTTAATCAATAGTCTAAAAGCAGGCCCGTAGCCAGTGTGGGGAATTATCGTTCGGGCAAACCCTCTCCCCTTCATTAAAACATCCTACCTTTTAAGCAGACCACAAAAGGTATAGAACTCTTCTGTCAATAGAATATGCCTTTGTATGATAATTATATTATTGTATCTTTATTTTAAACTACAAGATGTATGATATTTACGTTTTATTTAAGCCCTTTGCGGCCCTCCAAAGCCCAGAAACCAGCTCCTCCTGCCTCAACGATAATACAATATCAAACCTCCTTTCTGCCAAAGAATTTTTTTGACTATGGCTATGATAATGACAATGACGACGATGATGATGATACTGTAAATATAAATTAAGCCTCTTCAATTGACATTATGATGTGACGATCGGGATCATGATAGTGATGGTTCAGCAACCTTCACGGGGAGAGTTTTTATGGCTTAGTGTGGTCCAAAATTTGCTTTTAGACCAAAATATTAGGGATTGGCAGGCAGTCAAAATAACATTATTTGGATAGGCAAAACAATTTAAGTTTTTAAATGTTTTGATCGTGCGTTCGGCGACAGGGGTAGTCCAGGCCCGTCCGACGGGGAAGAGGTAACCACTGATTGAAATGTCGGACACTCAGCCGCGACCCTTCGACCCCCAGGCCAAATTTATCATCAGGATTGTTTTTAATATAATATTTTTAATATAATAATTGAATATTGAGTTTGTGTTTGAGTGATTACTCAATAAATCAAGGTCATTGATTTCTGTATAGTAGTTTCGCTAACCTTTATAAATAGTAACAACTTAATCATAAAGTAAACATAGGTCTACTAGCAAGTTTATCTTGTTGAAATTATAGTATGATTTTCATTTTCTTTCGATCTTCTCTACATTCCAACATTCACACGACTATAACAGGGGTAGCGGGGAGAGGCAGGGCACCTGTCGGGGAGAAAAAAAAACACAATTCGTCGGGGGAAAATGTACATGTATTATCTACATATTAGTAGATTCCAAAATCGATTAAATAATCTTTTGAAACCCCTATTTTTTGCCTGCCGTCTCACTTCATTACCTGAAGGGCTTGTCTGTTTATATTAGTTATTTTTTTTTAATTTTTCCCAATAATTATAGTTCATGGTCCGAATACTCTCTGCAACTTGAGACCATTTTTTTGCGAAAGACGCCAGACAAATAATTATACAGAATTACCATTTACCATTACCATACCAAAATAGAGACAATTATATGAAAAATATTTTCTTATTTATTTACAAATTTATTAACAAATAATTTCTCTATCCAGAGAGCCAACAGACTCATTTATTTTGGTCTACGATTATGCAGTACTTACAGGTACACTGTAAATGGTTCACTGTTATCAGTGGGGTACGGTAACTCAAGCAAATTTAGAACGTCCGAATCTCATCGAGTACAAATATGAACATGCATATCCCTGAACTAACTATTCTCCCGTACTGTTAAAGATTATACCACAGGGCTGATACAGCGGATGGGTATTTCGGGGCTGTTACAGCGGAGGGAGGAATTTCATGGGTGTTCATTACCAAATTGGGTTGTTATAGCGAAGGGGATTTTCAGGGGTGTCCCATTAATGATCCAGGGGCGGTGCCAGCAGGGGCTGTGGGACATGGCCCCATGTTAGGAAGAGCTGCCATCCCCTTTCGTCCGGGAGAAAAACCACAATTTGTCGGGGAGAAAAAAAATTAATGTATTTTCTACAATTTCACTTTAACATTGATTAAATAAGCCTTTGAAACCCCGAAATTGTCATATTTTTTTAGATCACTTTGAAAATATTTTATGTGTGATACACGACCACCCTAGCTAACGATATTACGTTCTGAGAACGTTACAATAACGTTACCGTTTGGAGATAAAAACGTTATTTTTTAGAACCATATGTACGAACTTATAACCTAATTTTACAACCTACGTTTGAACATTCTTACAACGTTGTGTGAAGGTTATTTTGTGACATAGGCCTACCTAACCACAACGTTCGCGAACGTTATAAAAACGTTTTTTGTTTGCTGGGACGCCCACTTTGCTTTCGTCGGGGACGTCGGCCCTCTTCAGTCGGGCCCTCGGACGGGGAAATCGTGGCGCTATCCCATAGCCTATTGCCAAGTGGGGTTTCGAGGGTGTCTCAATAATAACCTATTGCTCAATAGGGCTGTTACAGTTTCATTCCGGGTTTTATTATCAAAGTCATGGCAAAATTTATTGAATTATGAGAAGATTTACATAAAAGCCATAAAAGAGACTTTACAAATTTCACTAAAAAAAAACAAAAAAAAAAAACACTAAATACAGCCGGTGGGAATTTCGGTGGTGTTCCATTAATAACCTATAGCCAGGGCTGTTGTAGTGCAGGGGATTTCAGGGGGATCCCATTAATTACTTTGTTGCCCAATGGGGCTGTTACAACGGAGGAGGATTTCAGAAGTGTCCCATTATTAACCTGTTGGCATATCAGGTGGTTACAGTGTTATTTCGTACAATAAATAGCTGCTTTTCTGCCGATCAACTTTGAATGCAGAAGTTACTTTACTCTGTAACTTACTGAAAGTTGATAACCTTTGTTCTCAGCCAACAGCAACAGTTTTATTTTCAGAACTATCTACGTGGGTGTACCGCAAACATTATTATATACTAAGTGTTCTTGTGATCGAAAATAAATTAGCTGTTTCGATGATTTACAGACAATATAGGCTGTACAATTTTGGTATATTTAAGAATAGGTTCATGTATCCAGACTATAGAAATAGATTGATTCAAACTTTCCTCAATTTTCAGTAAAGTTGATTCGACAGGCCTTTGAAATGTATAAAACTATTTCATATAATATTAAAATGAATATGTCACGGCCTATGTCAAGGTCTAACATTCTTGAGATTTCGTCTGGATTTTCTTGAGATTGGGTATGTTTTGAAAATTATTCGTGAGGTCACAAAACTTAAGGAAATGCAGTCAAGCGTCGATATAACATCTTTACAGTGAATACATTGATACAAAGTGCCACTTTGATATCCCATTTAGTTTTCTTTAGTTTTTGCTAAAGCGGCGTCGAACTGTGACGCTCGCTACGGGATACTTGATAGCACTGACACTTGCTTTTAAAAACGATTTCACAGAAAGTGAAGATGCGGTTGAACTTTATTTACAGAAAAAAAATCTGAATGCAATCTGAAATACAAAAGTGCCTATTCGTTATCACAGCATTTTCTTAATGATAGTGCGGCGCACTTTACCCTAAGCTTCAGGATAGGCATAGGATCGATCAATATCTAAGAAACAAATCTTTAATTTACTAGCTATGTTTAGGTGTGTGGAAGCCTCCCTGGAAGTGTTCGTTTTTTTCAAGTGGGTGTTTTTTTTTAATATAAGGAAATTTAAAGCGATAACAAATATGATTATTTTCACATTTGGAATGCATATTATATAGAAGATAAATTATCAATGATCATAAATTTGGGATGACTGCGTTATCTCCTGTATATTAGTTACAAGACAAGAAAAACTGACTTGTAATCATTAATCAAATGCTATATTAGTACCGAAAATAATTTTACAAGTAATGTAGCTGTCCCTTTTTAAATAGAAACTAAATGCCCTCTTGATAAGATCATTAGAAACTGAGAAAAGCAAAAGTGAATATAGGTGAACTGTCCATAGGCTTACGGTCGGCAGATGGCAAGTATCGCAGAGGAACCCGTCTGGTTGAAGGAGCTGCACAATTTACAGATGAAATTAAAAACAAATAAGAAGATAGAAGCCTTTGAGATGTTGTGCTTCGTTGGAATTTTAAAAATTAGTTATAAAAACAGAGTAACAAATAAAGGCATTTTAAGAATGAGAGTAGATAAGGAATTACGGTACTTTACCAAGACATCTGCAAAAAAAACAAAAAAAAAACTATAAGAATCAGGACAAATAGGCTCAAGTGTCAAAATGTGTACGAACATTGAAGGCTGAAGGGGAAAGAGGAATGCATGGTCTGAAAACAGCAAGGAATAAATGGGAGTAGATTTTACGGTATGGCATTTAACAAAAATGGAGGACGAAGAACGATACCGACAATTATGGTCGTCGATGTTCATGAGTTGCTTTGGGACACCATCAATTGAAGTAAGTAATGTTACCCTAAGATTGCACAATTGGAAACAACAAAACAAAGTAAAATATTTTATTATCATTGTGCCCTTGAATTATACTGCAGTTATTACCTAAAAAAATTAATTATATTATTGATAATAATTGTTTTTTTTTCTTACAATTATTGTTATTAGGGCCTATAATTTATTACTTCATTATTTGAATAAATTATGGTCGTCGATGTTCATGAGTTGCTTTGGGACACCATCAATTGAAGTAAGTAATGTTACCCTAAGATTGCACAGTTGGCAACAACAAAACAAAGTAAAATATTTTATTATCATTGTGCCCTTGAATTATATTGCAGTTATTACCTTTAAAAATTAATTATATTAATGATAATAATTGTTATTTTTTTATTTACAATTATTGTTATTAGGCCCTATAATTTATTACTTCATTATTTGAATAAAATTTAAATAATGAAGCAATAGTATACATTATGATATTACTTCATTATTTAAATTTTATTTTTTCTACATCATAATCATGCATTATAATCATTATCATGAGCATCATCATCATCATGAATCATGAATATTCATACATCATCATCATGAATCATCATAAATCATCATCATGAATCATCATAAATCATCATCATGAATCATCATCATGAATCATCATCATGCATCATCATCTTTATTATCATTATTATTACAATCATTTCATACAGCAAACAACATTTTATAAAAAGTATTCTTTATTTTATCCTACAAATATTTGCATAATGAAGTGTGTGTTACTATTACAATAATTGAAAGGTAGCTTTATCTGAATACAAATATCTTGTCAAATGATGTCGAACATCTTTACAGATATTAATTGATCTTAACCTAGGCCAAACAGGGGCATATTCAGAATATTTTCAATGAGGCGCAATCGAAGGCCAACAGTCTGAGGGCTACAGGTGGGATATCCTTATGGAAGCTTCAAAGTATTAGCAGTTTCTTATCTTATTAATCGGTTACAGATTCTTAGATATTTTGCTTCGGGGAATTACAGGCACCGCATTTCTCACCAGTCCCCTCCCCCTCCCCACTTCCAGATTAGCCAATGATTTACTGAGTAAATCTGAGAAAGGATTTGAATATTATCAACAACTGTATTCAAATAATTATCCCAATCTTACAAGTTAATGGGTTCTTCTCCAATCAAAATTACGCAGCTTAGTAAAACGTATTAAATGCCAATTGTTTGATAACTTAATCCAAGATCAATGAGGCGAATCATTCCTTAGCACAGTCTTAGGAGTTGATCCATAAATCCCATAGCGTAAAATAAGCCTATTCGTTCTCATCTGAAGCTGTTTCTACGCCATCAAATTTTATGTGATGTGTCCTTATTGGGTGTAATATGACATCATCATGCCAATATATATCATACCAACATATTTGTTTATCCATAAAAGTAGGGTGTTGAATACTACTAATACAAAAAGTGTATAACTCACCAAGTAGAATAAGTGCAACATTTAGTACATAATTGGCTCTTCAATATAATATTATAAATCAAATTTATAGCAATTTAATCACTCGGTATCTTATGGTAAAAGTGTGATATTACAAAGAAGTAATATAAAATATTCAGAGACCAGATTATCAAAGCAGGTACTTTGACTCACCGACATTTTAATTTGAATACTAATCTATTAAGCTGCAGGATTTACAATAAAGATAATCAAAATAACTAAATATAATTCAATATTTAATTTATACATGAATAGTCAAAACAAACTGATACTATTAAAAATGCATATAATAAAAATTATTTGCTGTAATTCTTATTATTATTATTATTATTATTATCAATATTGCTGTCAATATTATTATTACCATTATTATATGTCTCAGCATCTTTTTTCATTCCATATCACAACAATGAAAATACCAAATTTCAAATGGCATGATACAATTAATTGACAGTCAATTGTTGATTATTTTTTATCAATTATTTTTTAAATGTTATTGAAAAAATATTTTAGATTAAAATTCTCAAAGAGAGCATGAATAGCACAGGAAAAATTCACATTAAAAATTATATAAATAAGAATAAAAATGACTCAAAAAAAATAAAGAAAATGAGGCATTATTCAATGTAAGTTAATATGGCCGGCTCCAATGTCTCTACTTGGAGTCACTTATGGTTTATTTTATGCCAGTGCACCTTTTCGTTTTCGTACAAAACAGTTTATTTTATAAAATTTCCTTTAGTGAACAGCCGGCAACAAAATGTGACCTGGAGATACCCTCTGTATGTAACCTACAAAAACATATAAATCAAAAACATTAGTTCATAAAATCATGATGATAACAATACTATAGGCCTATGTTTAAATAATCACCATTAACGTCTTTTTACAATATCAACATCAAAGGAAAAAATTAATAATTACTTGTTGATTAAAAAAATTATAATTATAAACTTCATCAACAATAAATATCTCTTGATGGTAATTACAACATGATAATTTAAGATTTAGGATTTTGATGACAAAATCTTACCACTATAATTGGTGATTGTGAAGCGTTCATCACACACAGCCCAACTATGATCCATGGATTAAAATATTACATTCCTTTAATGTATAGGCTCCTTACATGTACCTTAAAGAAATACAAAATACCTGTTTAGAATGACGAAAAGAAACATGCACAGGCAAAAGTAAAACAAGAGGTAAATAATTATCACATCAAACAAAGAAGTTCGACAAGTCGGAATGAAAGGAATATATACAGAGGTTGAAGGAATGGAAGAGTGCGAGTGGAAAGACGACAAACGAAAAAATTATGTACATAATCATTTAGAGGCATTTTAAATAATTTCCTTAATTGAATCAAAATATTGATAAGTGTAATAGAATACAAAAACTGGTTTAGTTATTAACAAATCGTTGCACATAACACAATTTGACAAATCTGGAAGGTTGTCACCATGTGACAAATCTTGTTCAGATGTACCAGTGTTCCGATACATCTATAACAAGATTTATCTAATAAATAATATATTTACTGACCACTTTACAATATAAACTTAGGACTATTGGCCATGACAGACACTGCACTGTGGCCACCACGGGTCCTCATGTGGCTAATCCAATTTTCTTGTTAAACTTTTAAAAAACAATCTATTTTACATTTAAGTTTTAATTTTTTTACACTGAAATCACCCAAAAAACAAGGCTCGAAAGCCACTTCTATGGCTTGAACTTAGTGTTGAAATAATAGTCTGAGCCACTCCACAGCCTGTCAACAATGCAAGTTGGGATGTCTACTGTAAGTACAACCAGCCGAGAATGGTCAACACGTGGTTCGAAGGTGAACACCTGACCACAAGTTCAACAACCAGAATGGAAATGCAACGCTGCTTTCCCTAATGAAAAATGGTTATCACTACGTCATAAAATGTGGAAGAGGTATTAACTTACCTATGAATGATGCCTAAGCTGTGCATGTGTTCTAGTGCTAGTATAATTTCTGCAGAATAGAATCGAGTCGTGCACTCATCAAACGACC